AATGGATAAAGGCATATCCTTTGTTTATCTAAACTTTAACGTTTGTTTATCTAAACATTGTTTATCTTTAACACCGGCCAGCAGTGCAATGAATTGGAAGTTGATCTGTCTGCTTATCTTAAGAGCAGATGTTTTTATTTTATTTGGCTTATAATTGCTTATTCAATGTAGTATTTCATCTCGATGTGTCTTTGATATGATTTAAATCAAATGCCTCATCATTATAATTCGCTTCGGATAGCGAAGAAAGTGACAGAGGTTATTGAAAACGAAAAAATTTCGATTGACAAATTAGTCGGTATTCTCGACACAGCAATTATAGGACTTGAACAGCGGAACTTTGTAACTGAACACGAAATTATGTCTGTTTATAGAATTAAAGAGAATGTATTATCACATAAAAAACGAAGCAACTTAAACAACTTACATTGAAAGAAATGTAAAAAAATTACATTGAAAGAAAAAGTAAACAAATAAATATTAAGCTTTTTCTTTTTGTAAATTTTGATACCCTTTAGATCATAATCGTTCCTTATTTCGTAAATTACGGTTTCATATTTTTAATTTTATAATTTCTGCATGCAATTTTACCAGATTTAAACTCATGATCTATAATACGGAAAAATCGATAATCCGGAGTCGCCGAAGTCCGGATTAACGACTTTTGACTGTATAATAGTAAATAACTATCTAAGATTGATGTTTTAATTTAGATGAAATGTTAATTTCATATAATACTTTTTTATTATTATAATTTATATAAAAAAGGCTAAACATGACTGAATGGAAGCACAAGAGGAAATAACTATTTCAGATCATTATTAGAATTTATATAAAAATTGCTAAACATAACTGAATGGATGCCTGCATCGCTATTTTGCTACCGAGTTATCGCTAAAGCATAATTTCATCTCACTGATTGTTCAGACATAATTTTTTCTAATGAATAATGCCTTTCCATTTAAAAAATTCTCGGTAAAGTGCAGAATCGCCCACTTATTTATTTGCCGCTTTTTACAAGGGTTAAAAACAATTGAATTTTTGTCAATTTTTTTTTTACTAAGTGAAAATAGGTCGATTTGTACATAGATAAACTCAAGGGTGTGTGCAGTGCCATTTTTGTGCAATTCTGGGATTTTTTTTTTAAGTGAAAATAGGTCGATGTGTTCATGAATACCGAGTATGTGCAATTCTTAAAAACGCATCAAGCAGTGGGTGATTCTGCACTTTTCCCAAAATTCTATTCCAGACTTTTCATCATGGGCAATTCCCAAATTGTTAAATCCATAAGATATCAAAAAAGGATTTAAAAATTAAACTAGCATTTCAATTACATCTTAAGAAATATAGAACTATATAAACTTACGCAATCTGAAGTCAGCACGTACCTTAGATTTGGCGCTTTTGCGCATGCATTTTCGCTGCAATTTTTTTACGGTCCTCAAAACAGAATAGTACTGAAATTTGTTTCAATAAGCGCACAGAAAGAAGAAACGGCGCACGACTGTTTGCCAGGAAATGCTCCAATGCTTGAATGTTGATTCGAACCTTCTAGAGAAAATTGTTACTGGTGATGAGACCTGGGTCTACGAGTACGATCCCGAGTCGAAGCGTCAAAGCTCAGAATGGCACACTGCTTCCTTGCCGAAGCCCAAGAAAGCTTGTATCAGCAAGTCGCGTGAGAAGTGCATGCTGATTTTTTTTTTTTTTTTTTTTTTTTTTTTTTTTTTTTTTTTTTTTTTTTTTTTTTTTTTTTTTTTTTTTTTTTTTTTTTTTTTTTTTTTTTTTTTATGGTAAAGGTGTGATTCACAAGGAGTTTGTTGCTCATGGACAGACTGTCACAGGTAACTTTTACGTTGGAGTGCTCAGCCACTTGCGGGATCGCATCTGCCCGGCAATTGAATTCTCCACCACGACAACGTGCCCGCTCACACGTCGCGTGCTGCCGCCGAAGTTTTGGTGAAGTTCAATGTGACAACACTGCCACAGCCACCCTACAGCCCCGACTTGGCTCCAAGCGACTTTTTCCTCTTCCCCCGAATCAAGACAGGCCTAAGAGGGAAGCGATTCCTTTCCAACCAGTAGGCTTCAACGACAGCCCTTGACAGCATGATGCCCGAGGCCTTTCAGAGGGCTACGAACAGTGGAAGCGCTGTGTTGATCATATTTTGAAGAATTTTAGTCCCCTGTACTTAAATGTCCAATAAATTTCTAGTTCTGAGGTAAGTCTTGAAACTTTTGAATCACACCCTGTATAAGCCGATCCCCATCATTTAGTTTTAAAGAAGAGGTTTAAAAATTTTTTCGCCTATACACGGAAATATACATTATTTCTGTCATTAAAATTCATAAGAATGAAGTCAATAGCAAAAATATTTAACAGAAGTTTGGCAAGGAAAATTTAAAGGCAAAATGTGAAAGAGTACCTGTGCATAAAGTGTATGCAAGATTATTATTATGATCAAGAAATAAATTTGCATACCTAACAAATGAAGATTCAATATATGCCAAATATGTCATGAATAAATACTCTTAACATTTTACGAAATTATATTCACAGATTCTAATTTTTAATCTCGTATTCTACGAGATCTCATTCATATATTTAATCTCATATACTATGTTTCAAATTACAATGCAGACAAAATAATGCTTCTTATCATTTAATTAAAAAAATTTAAACCTTAATTTCAGGCTTGATGGCAAAAATCTTACAAAACTGTTCAGCCCCAAAAATATTCACCAAAATATGATATAAATTTCAATACATTAAAAACATTGCAACCGAGCTGATTTATCAAACAAATATACTTTATAGCTTATTAAGACAAATGCATCAGCACGGTTTTTTCCGAAATATAAAGGGATACAAAAAGAAATTTTATCATGCTCCGTAAGCAACTCATTTGGAGGATAATAAAGGGCCAATTTTTGCTCTTGAACTATACATATCCTATTCTGAATTTAGATACTCAGTTTTTAGCTCTCACAAATTAAAAGAAGTATTCAGATCTAATTAGTTTGATAGAATAAGATCTGTAGATGAGCTACATCTGCTCACATTTGTTTTTGTGCACTTGCGTTTTCCAGTTTTATTTGCAAATATCAGTTACTAGCAAAATAACTATTTTTTTCATATATCACCTGTTTTAGTTTGCTTATTTAGAGAAAAATTATTCAAAGCATTTTTGGTAAAAATAATAATTTATTCAAAAAGTCTGAAAATGAGCTTGCATAAGTATTTGGAGACTGAAAAAAAAAAGTTTATATTTAACATAAAAACACAAAAATAAAAAGACAATATTTTATTGGATATCCTATAGCCAAAATTACACTTTTCATGAACTTTATCGTGGATTTAATTAATTTTTTTTGTGTGTAAAAATGCTCTATTTTGTACTACTCCTCCGTGGTAATTGGTCTTAGAGCTTTCGAAGAAATGCCATTTACCCGTTCTTTCTCCCACTCAAACCATATTATGTTCAATGAGATTTTAAGTCCAAAGAATATGAAGCAGTTTTCACAACATCAGGACAGTTGCATAATAGCCACAAGGGAACATTTCAAGCTGCATGTTTAAGATTTGTTATCTGACAGAACTTTAATTTATTTCACATTCCAAATTTTCTTGCACATGCTTTCAGATTTTTACCAAAAATATTTATATATTTATACTCATCCACATTATTTCCTATAAAACTATATTTCCCATTCCAGAGGCAGAGAAACTTCTTCAAACCATTATGCCTCCACCCACATTATTAACAATATGTTTTCCAGATATAATTTTTTATTTGGTTTTCGCCACACAGCTAATTCATTAAACTGTGACTCATTTGGAAATATAATATTGTTATAATGTGATAAGCTTTTGCTTACGATAGAATGTCAGCAGTATTATCCTTGTCAAAAAATTTCCTTCCATTACTGCCCATTGTATCTATATGCTGTAATGATTTTTGTAACAATTTCAGGGTTCACTTTTATTCTAAATCACTGTGCGTTTTGTATTTTATTTGATTTTTCATATGATAAATCCAAGACTCCTCTGTATTAGCTTGGAATGTCACTCGGACTTAAGTGCATTTACAACAGTTCCTCGCAATTTCCTTCGTTTCATATCATCAATGATACTTGAATGCTATCAAGAAATTTTTGGAAATTTTTAACACCTTCAAAATTTCCAAAATTCCAGATTTACAACAGAACCTGTTAGTTTAAAGCTTTCTGCCATATTCACCTCATATTGGAAGTGTTTACATATTTTGCTAAAGCAACAATTTCCAAAAGCCGGAAATATTTCTTGTGGTGTATTTTCATTTATAACAAAAAAATTATGTTAAGAACTTTCATCAGTCAAAACATTTCAATGCTCCTTGTGTCCAAATAATTATGACAGTTACCATCTTAAGTTTTGAATTTGTTTTAGTATAAGCAACATTTTGATGATAATTATTTTGCAACAAGCAAGGCTTATAATAAAGAAAAAATGCTGTATTACAAAAATATCTGTAATCTGTGTTTCAATATTTACTACCAGATCTACGTAAGTAAATTTCAAAAATACGAGTGCCCCAAAACAAATTTTATGAAGCTACTGTAACAATTAATTTACTTTTCAATTCAACCATATCAGGTAAGAAAATGGGAAAACAATTATGATCAAACTTCGCATAATGTTTACTCTTCTATATAATTAAATTACCTTAAAATGAAGTTAAGTTAACCATTATATGTAATCACATTTTTCCATTAAAAAAAGCGAAAACGAATAACATCATTTTAATTAAATTTATGATTTACTAAAACAAATAAGATAATCGAATTACAGGAAATCAGAATCTTCTTATTTAAAGGGAGCTTCATAACAATGAAAAATTATAAAAACTGAAAAATCTACTTCAAGAATTGAAATAAAAATAAATCTGCAACAACTTTTACACTAACAGTTCATGTTGAAACAATTAAATTTAAGAAGTTTAATTGAAACAAAAAAATACCTGGAATACAAGTTAAAGGTTCGTCAGACATTTCCTCTCTTCAACACAAATATATTATTATTACTTAAGTTTAGAATAACACGTGTAGCAAAAATTAAAACGGTTAGATGGAAGTGTCTAAACATCCGACTTAGGATGGCGCGCGAAACAAGGTAATTTTTCTGCGCAGAACTGAATGCTCCAATGTCAAATGTCTTTTTGTTTTGTTTTTGTTGTTGTTACAAGAACTATAAATTCGAAATACTTTATTGTTGTTCCACCGCCATCAGACAAGGGTTTATCATTTTCTTTTCTAGCTTCCTTCTGACGACCTCCTGCTACAGAATCCACTTGAGTTCTCCACAAAGCCAGGTCTTTCCGGAATTCTTTGGGCAACTACTGGAAGTACTACCATAATGTAATAGAAACCCAGTATTAATAGTATTTAACAACGTAGTATTGTTGGTCTACTGCACAAAGTGCAGTTTTACTAGCTGAGATAAAATCTGGGCCCTTCAACGTTTGACACTGAATGTTACTTGAAAGTACATTAGCTTGAATAGGTAGAACGAAGTGTGTGACCCTTTGTCACGGTGTATGAGAGGAAAGTCATTTCTAGAAAAGCAAACGTACCTCGTCTGGTTGAAGGGAGCAAGAACTAATATTTAATTACAGGTAATGTTCGGAGTAGCGTTAGAGGGTTGTAGCAGTAAATCGAAGATACGTAACTTCTGGGTGCTACTATCATAGACAACCACATAAAAAGTAGCATGTAGATAACAAAAGGCTTAATATTTCGTATGATTTATGGATAGATGCTAAAAACTGTAAATGCGTTTATGAATAAATATTGATCTTCTTTAATGATACACTCAAGAATTTTACGCTCATTATTTACTAAATTATTTACCAAATTATTTTTCGAAAGATACTCACAGAAAAATGTTTTAGCATTAAGTACAGCAAAAGAAAAGCCAGTAATTCTTTAATAGTCTCTAATGGAAATATCTTTAATGATAGTTCAAATCGATGTCTTTACAATTCTTGACTTTGGCGATAAAATACAATTAGGCATTTTCTAACATGTAATTACCGAAAACTGGCCGTAATATGCAATTAATTAGGTTTATTGAGGTTTAATATAATTCGATGATAAGTGTCGCTCTGATTTTTGCCATTACATTCAGTTTTTCCCGCTCTTTGAGTGATAAGATCCTCAAGACGTAGTTCTATTTCATCTATCCTATCAGTTTCTTTCTCACATAAATATTTCCAAGATACAAATGTATATATTAACGTTGGAATGTTTCTTATTATCTATGAATAGGAAAAGTTTTGTCAAAATGCAATCAGACTCATTCAATTTTCGAGCCCGTTTGAACTTTGAACTACCATTGTTCATCGGTCTTATTAGCTCTGCGTCTGGTGGGCAAGATAACCAGTGAAAGCTGATGATTAAATTTTTTATGAGAGTCAAATCTAAATATTTTTCAAACCTTGTAGTCAAACATCATTCATCCACCCCCCCCAATAGTTTTTTTTTAATTGTGTAATTAAAAACTTTAATTTACTTTTTAATTCGATTGAAATTTTCCTAAAAATGTTTAGATTATTTATACAAAGAAAAATAGCTTATCTAATTTAATTGAAATATCTATCAGACAGGCACAGAAAAAATTAAAATAAAACGAGAATACTTTAATGGGTCACAAGGGTATGGCATCATGTGACAGAGAAAGAGAAACACCGAAACAAAAACAAATGAACATCATGCAGTTTCATAGGTGTAGATGACATTTGAAAAATGTATTGTATGTTAGGAGATTTTAAGTATCGCTTTCTCACGTTGTCATCATGAATGATCCATTTGAAGAAGATATTTCTTGGGACTTTTTTGTGCAACATTATTATTGGGTAATGCTTTTATTAGAACATAATTTTGTGTTTTTGTGCGCTATCTTCTGTCATTGGGAAATGTTTGTCATATTTTACTGTTGAATTCATATAGAATAATTTATTCGTACACGTGATATATATTTACACTTTTCAATTTGCTTGTAGAGTGCTGACTACTTAATTAGTAAATCAAAGACTTTATAAAGCAAATTATGCGCGATAGATGTTGCCCAGTGGTGTACGACGGCGGGAAAATACTTTTCATTCTAAAAAAATATTTCCAGAGAAAAAAAATTGCGTCTAGGTATTAAGTTGTAAACGTACGATATTTTTTCAGGTTTTTATAAAAAGAAAATGATTTTCTGTGCGATTCGAAAATGAAACTTTCTTTGTAAAGATGGAGGAAAAACTTGTATATAGTAATGCACTGGAAGAATATTAGAAATTAGGTAGATCATAATTTTATTTGAACTAAAGCCTCAGAAGGGCCACTGAGAATTTGAGCCATGTTTTTGCTTCTTTAGAGTGTCGTTTTGTTGCATTGGTATATTTATTTTGTGATTAATATGAACACAAACTCCCTGTGCACCACTAATGTGCATCACAAGTAATCTAAAAGAAAGCGGCAAATAAACAACGGAAAAGATTAATTAAACATTAAATGCATTTAAAAAATTGAGAGAAAAGAAGCAGTCACCGAGGTAAGAAGTAAGTACGATTGTACTAAAAGTAATAAATTAGCGCAAAGTGCTGCTAAATTTAAATGAAGTTTAAAAGTAAGGTGTGATCCAACTCATCAGCAATAAGACATAAATTGTATTTTGTAGTAATACATGAAAAAAAAAAAAAAAAAAAAAAAGCAAAGTAAAAATCGAAGATACTAAGACATTGATCTGAATGTAGAAATTAAAAATTAAGAAAGTATATTTTCAAATAGTAATCTTCCTTGTTTGGAGTTTCATAACAGATCTTGGGTAAAATCCTAGTATACGGTGCAGCCTTGGCGCAGTTTTGAAAATTATCACCAACACCAAAATGACCTGTTTAACTACTCATTGTGTATGTCAAGTTTACTACTTATCATAAATTTGCCAAAAGCAGCCAAATCCCTTGTGCACCGGATACTAGGATTAAACCCAGAACTTGTCAAGTGAAAAAGTGTTTTGAAATTCCAGTGCTAATACTTAACTATGCGCAAAATACATAAAAACAGCGTTTCAAGATGGCTGATGATTGTAAAAACTGCGGCAAAGTAAATCACCAAAAATCCGTGCAACCGTCTACCAAAGTAGCACCGAAATTCCATACCTGGTTGATTAATTAGATAGCCAAGACAAGTTTCGTTCTGACTAATTTACCGAGACTCGGAAGCGTAGTACTTAATTAATTAGTCTATGAATTATTGAATTGTCTCTTTTCTCTACTTGTCTTAGCTCTCTAACACAAAAATATGAATTGTGAAATATTTTTACATTTTTACAAAAACAAGTTATAAAAATTTTGCTTAAAAATATTATATACAAATAGAAAAAGCATGTGAACACATGAAAAAGTCTTACTATGTAAAAAGTAAAAAGGTAAATAATTTACCTTTTTATTTTTCTTACTGTTAAGGAAAAGGTTCATCCACAATTACTTCCCCTTTTCTTCTAAGATCATTGGACTACCACTCGATTACAAGGACACACTTAAAAATGAAGGTTTTTTCTTATGGTAACCTTGCTCTACAAAACTATGTGGCAAACTTTCACTGAAGTTCATTTTACATGTTTCTTTCCATGCAGCACTTGAGTTTGGTAAGTTTGACTTGCTCTGTCCTTTTAGTCAGGCTATTTTAATCTTTGGCTGTTTCAATTGTACTTTTACAATTTTTCTTTTTAATTTAAGCATTTGCTGTTTCAACTGTACTAGTACTGTTAGCATTTTAATTTAAACATTTACTCTTCAGTTGAACTAGTACATTTTCTTTTTACCTAATTTTTGTCTTTACTTTTGGAAAGCTGCCTCGTTGTAGGTCGATATTTTACTTTGCTCTGTTACCATTTCTTTTTTTCTTTTTGCAGATCATAATTTAATATTCGTACTTATAATTGAAGTTTCACTTACATTGTACTCACGTTCAATTAAAATTTGCATTTTTCTAAAAAGTATTTCTTCAGTCTTTTTTTAAGACGCTCCTTTTTTAAGTTGTTATACAGGACTGTCTCCTTTAATTACTTTAACTGAGACCAATAAATTGAATTTGTATTTTTTATTTTTTACATAGTAAGACTTTGGTACTTACGTATTATCGCAACCAGGTTGGCACGATTTGTAAGTTTGAGTAAAAAAGTATGAATAGAAAGAAAATGTACATTTATTAATTACAGATAATTTTTAATACAGTTTTTTATATTATTTTGTTTTAAAATATAAAATAGGAATTAAACCCTTCCGGTTTCGAATTTTAATAAGTTGCAGAATTATTTTTTTGGCGGAAATCTTTTGGCTATTGCTTTTAGCACTGATTGAAAACCGTCTTAGCCATTAACAGCTTGAGCTTGGCACCATATAAATTCGATAAGGTATGAGTCAAGATGATGACGGGGTGTTCCTCTCTGTTTTTTGTTGTGCCATTTGGCTGAGCCCCACATGTGCTCTACATGTTGTGTGTGAACGCCCGTGTTGGGATCTACAAAGTTATATTTGTGATTAACAGTTCCATGCAGAAATCCAGCATTTTTCGAACTCACTTGTATTGTATCCTTTCCAGCAATCCGAATAAATGATGCTTCCTTCCTTGATATTTTCGCAAATTTTTTCCATGAGGGTAACGGCGATTTTGTTAGGTTCAGCAGTGCTCCGCAACCGGTGTGCAGCAGCACACTGGTGTGCTATGAGTAGGATATAGGTGTGCCGCAATCAAATACATGTATTTGACATTTTGCAATTTTTATCATGTATTTAATACACAATGACAATTTTTTTCCTTAATAATGTCTATTTTAAATGTTTTTATATATTTCACTGTTGTGTGGTTGTGTGTGTGATTGTAAGTGTGTCAGCATATGAATTTTCGGCACTTCCTTGATAACTAGGAACTCTTTGGTGTGCCACGAAATTCCAGAAAGATTTTTTGTGCGTCGCAGGTGAGAAAAGGTTGCGGAGTACTGAGGTACAGTAACCAAAAAAAGTCTCTTTCTTTTCTCGGCAAATTCCGCCGAAAACCCATTGCTGTGGTAGTACACGCCCAGTGTTATTTTTTCTTTTTACAAATAAACTTAACTTAATAAAGTCTGCTTGGTGAGATTTAGGCAGGATAAACAGAAAAGTACCCTTAATTCTAATAATTCATTGAATAATTAATTAAGTACTATGCTTCCAAGTCTCGGTGAATTAGTCAAAACAAAACTTGTCTTGGCTATATAATTAATCAACCAGGTATGGAGTTTCAAAACACTTTTCCCTTGACAAGTTCTGTTGCAAAACTCCAAACAAGATCATTCTACATTCAGATCAATGTCTTAGTATCTTAGGTTTTTACTTTGCTGTTTTTCATGTATTACAATACTTCGTAGAATTCATGTCGTATTGCTGATGAGTTGGATTACACCTTACTTTTAAAAAATTGAGATTGGTAAGAAAAATGAGACTTCACAAAGGCAGGTGAGATCATGTTCTAAGTAGTCACATATAACTTTTTTATGTTAGTGTTTATCTTCTTCGAAACGTATCTAAACTAATAATTGAGCAAAGTTCCCTATATCAATGCTTTTATCCAATTGCAATGTGAAATACTCACTTTGTTTTATTTTTGGAATAAGTGTCTCTTTTATGGAATTTGCTATTTCATGAATTACTATATCATAGTTACCATATCATTTGATAATGGAATATTGTCAAGTTCATTAGCCGATTTTTAATGTTAAAACTTTTAATGTTTTTTATGTTTTTAATGTTATTTTTTAAATTTCATTATGCGTTTTTTAATGTTTCTAATTTTAAAACGGAATCTTTAGCTGCTGGTAATAGAAGGTTTTCTCCAATAGCGTGAGTCTTGGCAATTCTTAGGCTTACTAGGTAACTAGCTTCCAAAGCTTTTTCACTTGAAGTAACAACACTTTTTATTATTGTTTGCTATTTTTGAACTCCAATAATTTCCTCTTAAAGTACCCTTCAGATTTATTCTTTAAACTGGCATGCTTAGATTCAAGATATCTTTTAAGAAATGATGGTTTCATACTTTGATTGGATAATAGTTCACTGCAAATAACACATTGAGGTTGAGGGTCCATTTCATCTCCATTCCAAGTAAACCCAAATGATAAAATAACTTTCATCATACTTTCTGTAAACAATTTTTCTGTTCAATATTCTTCATGCTAGTAGATTGTCCTGGATCTATCACCTGTGAATCATAATTTTTCTGCTTAGTTAATCTTAGCTATTTTTCCATTTTGAAAATCCAGGTTTGTTTTATTATTTTTTCACAAATATTTAAATGCACAATATATTACGAGTTCTTCAAAAACAAGCAAAAATACCTGCTGCTAGAGACAGCAAATCAACATAAGCAATTATTCTAATTGAAAATAGAGCAATATAAGCCCGGAAATGGTGTCAACATAAAGTGTAGACATGCTAATAAATTGATCAACTCTAAAAGAATTAATAAGATACTATTATCTTTTTATAAGAACTTATTTTCTATTAAATACAGCATCCATTTCTATTACACCTTTTGAAAACATCATTTATGACAAATTCTGTTATGTATATGGCTAAAAGAATATTTGTGAAAATAAAAATGGATTATTTTGCTAATGTCTCTGAGCTTTGCTAATGTTGAACAAAGCTCAGATCCCATAAATTTCTCTACTAAAAGAGAAAAAACTTAAACAGGATGTTAGGGTATTTCATTTTTGAATTTAATGGTTGAAAAGACTTCGTGTAATTAAGACACAGTAACATGCCGAATAAATACTAATTCAGAAGTCAAACACGCCGAATAAATACTAATTCAAAAGTTATAACGCTGATTTTTTGTTGTTTGACTTCTGAATTAATACTTTGTGTCTTTGCGTACCACCGATTTTTCTCGTATGTATCTGCAGATGAGGATCGCTGCTCGAGAGTATGGTATTTCAAAGGATCAAGTATTTGAAATGTACACTCGTAGACAAAAAGAATGACGCACCACGACTCACCGAGAAGATATAAAGCAAATTGGACAAAAATCAATATGCATACAGGTTTCAAAAGAAATGCAAAATTTTACATTTTGGCTGCCAATGAATGAACAGTTGTCGCTACAGTGCATCTGATCTGCGCAACTGGCAGGATATTTAAGAGGAGAAATTACAATTCCAGGTCATAAATTCTTCACGAATTTCATTCTGTGTACTCTGGTAGACAGTAACTATGCCTCGCATACAGGTGCGCAAACGATATGCGCAGATGTCATAATTTGAGAGAGGTCGTGTAGTTGGGCTCAAAAAGCCAGTTGGTCTTATCAGTGAATAGCTCGACATTTGAGCAGGAGCAATGCCACTATTAGACAGTGTTGGCAGGAATGGGTGAACCATGGCCGCATGCAATGTCAAGAAGGAAGCGGTAGGCCTAGAGAAACAACAGAACGTGGAGACCGAGCAATTATCATCGATTGTGCAACTAGTGCTTCAGTGACCACAAGGACCATTCATAGACGGCTCAGAGAAAGGGGGCTGAGGTCACGGCGCCCCTTACGCCGACTACCATTGACATCTGTACAACGTCAAGACCGTTTGCAGTGTGTCGGGCTCATTCGCGCTGGAATGTCACTGACTGCAGTAGAATAGTCTTTAGTGATGAGTCCCCCTTTGAACTGAGCCCTGATGATTAGCGAAGGCGAGTCTGGAGACGCCCCGGACAGCGGTAAGATATCAACTTGACTATCTTACGGCAGACAGGCTGTCAACCAGAAGTGATGGTCTGGAGGGCCATTTCATTTCCTAGTAGGGTGCCTTTGGTTGTCATCTGTCACAACCTTACAGCACAGTGGTATGTCGACGAAGTTCTAAGACCTGTTGTGTTGCCCTTCATGTCATGCCACCCTGGCCTTACATTACAGCAAGATAATGCCCGCCCCCACGCTGCACATGCTTCTAATGCTTGCCTTAGTGCTTCCGGAACATTACCTTGGCCAGCAAGGTTGCCGGATCTCTCTCCTATTGAGCACGTTTGGAGCATCATGGGCAGGGGACCTCCAACCAGCTCGGGATGTTGATGATCTAACGTGGCAGTTTGACAGAATTTGGGACGATATCCCTCAGGAGGACATCTGTAACCTCTATCAATCGATTCCAAGACAAATAACTGCTTGCATAAGGGCCAGAGGGGGACAAACGCATTACTGACTTTTTCACTTTGTGAAGCTCTATCACTTCAGTAAATCATTCAATTTTTCTCAAACTGTAATCATTTGTTTTTCTGTACATGTACATCACTTCTACCTATTTTCGTCCCATTTGGATAACTCCTTCTTGGCGTGTGGTTTTTTTTTTTTTTTTTTTTTTTTGTCTAAGTGTATTTTGCAGATATCTGGGGTAATTTGATTTCGGAAATTTAAAGATCCCATCGTAAAATTGAATGGTTATGTATCAAAACTCCATTGTGTGAAGTTTGTAGGAGTTAGTCAGGCAATGGTCATGGTACAGTATAAAGTCCATAATCCGGAATCATTGGGACTTCTGAGATTCCAGACTAGAGTTTTTTCCGGATTATAAATCATCAATTTAAATCTGGTAAGATGGCATGCAGAAATTATACAATTAAAAATATGAATCCGTGATTTGTGAAATAAAGGGCAATTATGATCTAAAGGGTATCAAAATTTACAAAAAAAAAAAAAAAAAAAAAAAAAAAAAAAAATAAAAGGCCTTATATTTATTTGTTTACTTTAGTAAACATTTCTATCAATGTAAGTTGTTTAAGTTGCTTCGTTTTTTGTGCTAATACTTTCTCTTTAATTTTATTAACTTTGTAACTGAACAAATTATTTAATAATATTATTTATTATTAAATAATTTGTTCAGTTACAAAGTTCCACTGTTCAGGTCCTGTAATTATTGTGTCGAGAATACCGACTTGTCAATTGAAATTTTTTCGTTTTTAATAACATTGTCTATTACTTTCTTCAATGCGCATTGGAAGTGCGTATAAGTAAACGATTTACTGGCTTTACGCACATGCATAGCGGACGCGCGCATCAAACATGCATGCGTAAACACTTTACGTTCATGCGTAAGTTTGTGGCTTTGAGGTCTGGATTAGAGATCATTCTGGATAATGGACGTCCGGATTATGGACTTTGTACTCTACAGTCTTCCATTAAGCTATCTGCTTTCATGAAGAACACATCATACATACAGAGGAGACTGAAGGACAAGAAAAGCAAAACTATCAACAGAAGAAGAAAGCATGATATTTTGAATGGACTAGAAATTAAGAAGATTGTTGAGCAAAATGTGGAGAAATATCTCAAATTCCAACGATTTTACTAGCATCGGAATACCATATTAAAAAAAAAAAAAAAAAAAGCTTTATACAAAAGAAATGTTTGAGCTTAATGGATTCCTTATCACTTGAACGTTATAATTTGGATTATGGCAAACCACATGGGGCTATCTGGGTCGGAAGGGAAGGGATGCCTTCATGGAATGCTTTTTAAGAGAAATAGGCTAGTATTCTCATTGCACATAAGGGGAAAGCTTTTCCTTATTGCTTAATGCAACCTCATTGGAACGAAGATTTGATGAAAGCTTGAAAAAGTGGCAGAACCTAATTTAGAGACTGAATTGAAGCTGAAATCATGTTCAATCCAGTAAAGAAGTCCATTCTTCCTAAGATCCCCCAAAATTGAAACATTCATAATTACAGATGCCTAGCGATGCTAACAATGATTTATGCCTAGCAATGCTAAACAATTATTATAAATGCATAATTACAGCTGGAAAAATTATGATTGCAGCATATTATTGCTAGTGATCGAAATGTTGTGCAAAAAATCCACAAAACTCGACGTACATAGGAATGGGCATCAGAACATCATAATTGATTTGCTGACTGAGTATCAATAATTATAAATGTGTCTCAAACAAATAATTCCCAGTTTTAAAACAACTGTAATATGGACTGCATTTTCTCTCCCTGTAAGAGGTTTCTTCTGCAAATTTCTAAGCCATTCGAGAACTGGAAGAAAGCAGTACTGTACAAAGAATAGCAAAGCTTCTGTTTCACATAGATCATGGCTAAGCAAAGGAACTATAGAGAAGGTTTGTTGAAAGAAACAACCTGAAATAAAATAAAATCTAAGAAGGGGATAAAAGTATGTTAATTTTAAATTATCTTCACGTTTGTCTTTTGTGGTGCCTGATGGCCAATATTTGCCCTAACATGGCCATTACAGTAATTTGTTATTTCATCTGTTAGTATGACAATTAGCATAGAATGGACATTTTGAAATTGATTCAATTTTTATACTATAATGTATTATAAGAAATTAAAGTACTATTTAATAAAAAAGGACATATCATTGCCTCATTTCTGTTTCAGAAATAAAATTACTGTTTTTTAAAGGTGCATCATATTTTATGGGCTAAAGAGCCTCATGCAGCTTGTGAGCTGCGGTGAAGGGGCCTGACAGCCACAGTTTTGCTATGCCTGGTAAATTTAGTTTTGGATGCAATAAAGAACTCTCGAGGCAGTCTCTTTATAGAAATATTTAGCCTATTTACTGATGGAATTACTATATTCTCGGATGTATAAGCCACACTCTTGATTTGTAACCTCTAATAAAAAAAAAAAAAGTCCTGATGATAAGATGTGAATAACTTGTCTACCATCTATATTTTTTTCAGTTGGAAAAGAAATTAAAATGAAAACAATAATTACTACACACTGAGACAAATTTTTATTATCGGTCAAAAGCAACATGTTTTCTGCGTTTAGCACCTCTTATTCACTGTAAAGTTGATTCATTCATATATGATAAAATGTTATCTTCATGTTGTGGATACTTAGCAGCTTTTCCATGAAACACCTGTCACTTGCTGCTTGCTCCTTGAAGCTGATTCTTCTGTTATTTTTCTCCTATCATATGCTTTATTCATCCACATCAAAATGTTATGTTGCAGCTTGTTTCCTGTTTTTGTTAGTGAATTGGGCAATTGCAATTTAAAATGTGCATTGTAGCTAAATCATTTTCCTCCAGATGATCTGCAATCACAGCTAATACAATCTTATGTGACTTTCACCCAACAATAATGGATTTTATACTCAGTTCTTCAATACTGGCTGCTGTGTTGCCACATATTTGTATGTACCTATTTCTAATCAGTTGTGTGTCTAAGCTGCACCTCTGGCTTTCATCTACTTTTTTGTGTCTTATACACAAGAATATGGTAATAGAAATTTAGTATGATTCAGCTCTAAAGCAAGATTCAGTAAAAATGGGTATCGCCGAATTTTACAAACATATTCATGTATGATTCACAGAAAGCCATGAATTTCTATCATATGGAATTTCCATGTTTGGTAGGTCAGGTTGGAAAACTTTCTTAACTAATGGAAAGGAACAAGTGTGTAGTGAGATCTAGGTTAGCTGACAGTCATCTGACATATGCTTTTAAAATTAATATTTTAAAAACCAAAATATTTTTCCAGGTTCCCCATTCTAATGTGCCATTAAAAGGTCTTAAAATGATAGCTTGAAATTTCTGCACATCATATATGAATTTATACTGTGTGCCTTTAACTTTTGTTTTGAGTGGTTAAATATTACAAAATTTGCAATAAATTTGTTTACGTATGGTGTATATGTATAGATATAGTTATGTATGTTATTGATGAGGTTATTGTTTATTTTCTGTTTATTTTCTATTCTTTTACTGCACATATTACTTGTAGTCTTTTTTGTTTTATATATTAAAATATTCTTTTACAGGTTTTGGTTCTTGTAGTAGTACTTATATTCATTATGGTTTGTATACTGGTGTGGTATATAAGGCGATGCAGGTAAGTTTTAAATTATTAGTTTTTTATAATGTGATTAGTTAGTATTTTATTTTGAATAGCAAAATAATGAAAAGTTGTACTTTTAATGTAGCATTTTGTAACATAATAGTCATAGTTGAGCTTTTGTATTTTATGTATTTTATGCTTCTCAGAACCTAATTCACATATAATTTAGCTGATAATAGTAAGGAAACATATTTTTGATATTATGCAGGATCATTCAAATTAAAATTTCTCCATTTAGGACCTTATATAGAGATTATTGGTCTGCAGAGATTATTAATTAGATTGGCTGTCAGATATGGCATATCCATATATAACTCCACAGAAAACTATTTTATGAAAAAAAGAATTCTGAAAGTTATTTAATTATTAATGAGTCTCAGTATAATTTGATAGATTACGCTCAAACCTATTTTTGTGCGATATTTTTTGTGTGGTATGTGAAAATTTCAATCAAATTGGAACATAACTGACAATGTTATCAATAAAAAAAAAATTACACTGAGACTCATTAATTGGCATTGGCGGAGACGGGTTTAATACTTTGTGAAAATGATCTTGTTGAAATGATTCAGGATGAAACCGTAAGGGATGATGATATTATAAATTACGTAACAGATGTTACAGATGGGCATGAAGAACCCAATTATATGACAGCAGATAAAATCAATGCAAGACTCCAGTTTTCCATTAATTAGAGTGTTATTTTCTTGCAATTGATGCCAATTCTGAAAGAGCTTTAAAATTTCAAAAGGAGCTTTAATCTTGTATATCTGGTTACTGAGACATATACAAGCATCTAGTGAAACAACAGCCATCGCAAAAACTGATCATCTACTACATGGTAACTGAAAAAAGTCAACTCTAAGCAAATGTGAGGTAGTATTGCCAAGTGACGAAAATGATTTTGAACCAGTTTACCAAAAGAAGGTTCACATATTGTCAGATTATGAAGGACAGTGGTTACACATTTTGAAAAGTTTTGTATGTGTAAAATAAGTACATATGTAAAATAAAATATTAAAAAAATTTCGCATGTGTATTTCCTTAATCAGATTCTAAAAGGATTGGCAAGCCTCGTGTCTTGATTTCGTTAAAAAAAGCAATTCCTAGTTGTTTCGAAAGGTTTTGAGTTATTTTCTTTGTGAGACTTTTTTTTATGTGGTCCCTATTCACGGCATAAAAAAAAACTGCGGCTGATCTTTGGAATATGGTAACTGGTAGTTAGGCGACATTTTGGAGGCGATAAAGGTTACTACCTAGGACTTTGGTAATAATGTGAGAAGTACTCAGTTCCGATTATGCATTATTTTATGTGAGGGAAATGAGAGATCATGAGATATGTCATGTGACATTAATGGACGAGTTACAGTTCTTTAATCGGAAAAGGGGGGAATTTGGAAAACTGTAGTACAGTAAGACCCCGCTTAACGCTGTTTCGTTTAGCGCTGTTTCGGTTTAGCGCTCTTTTATTTCAACCCGGTTATTCACCGAAATTGTGCGCAGCGCTATGTTTCCAAATAACATATCCGAAACAGTGTAGTTGTGTTTCTTGCTTGGTGGACGCATTTTTATCATTTGAAACATTTGTTGACATTATTGTAAGTTTAAATTTGTATAATACTATAACGATTAATACAGTGACACAAATATTATGATCTTTAGTTTTTATCATGGGTGATAATAAAAAACAAGAAAAGAAAGCAACCAGAAAAAGCATTTCACTGGAAACTCAAATGCAAGTGATTAGAAGATTAGATTCTGGTGAACGTCAATCTCAAATTAGCGCTGCATTGATTTTGGCAACTTCAACAATAAGGACAATTCTTAAGAATAAAGAAAAAATACTGTCATCAGCAACTGCAACTACGTCAAGCTCTGAAACTAGAATTACCCGTTCTAGAAATAACATAAAGAGGAAATGGAAAAACGACTGTCTATATGGATTGACGACGAAATTGAACGCAATATGCCATTAAGACAATCTATCATAATGTCTTCTTAACAAAAAGGCAGAAAATTGGAAACCCAGAATAGACTGAATGATCTGACTGAGAATTTTATTTGTTTTTAAAAGTATATGCATTTATATTGTTTTTATTTTTGTAAGAAATAAATGTTTGATTTTATTTTTATTAAAAAAATTATTAAATTTAATGCCTAACCATTTTTTATCCGTCTTCCCCTAACCCCATTATTTACATGTTAAGATAGCCTCGCTTAGCGCTGTTTCGCATTATGCTCTACTTCAATGGAACGGGGGTCTTACTGTACTATATTATTTTGTATTAAGCTTCATTGTGTGTTGTGTGAAATAGTGGAAGTGTGCGTGCCACGTAATGAAGATTCTGAAGATTAGGTAAGTTAGTATTTTTAATCATTTGAGGATATTATTTTCATGCATTGTTCTAATTGTAAGGAGTAAATAAATTAATATGATATTATTGGAAAATTGTTATTAGCAATGATTTAGTTTAAAGTAATTAGGATTGTAATCTAATTTTTATTAATTTAATGTATGTGCTTATTTATATTTTAAGTAGTGTTTTTTAATTTAATTATATTTTAATTTAATGATCGTGATTTTGTGAGTTATATGTTTGTAGTATTTTGGAATACGTTTGAGTAGAATACGTTGAGTATTTTCATGAAATTTTTCTAATTTATGAGAAAAAAGCAGTGTACATAGATATAGTGAAGAGTGTGCGCAATGCCATTTTTGTGCAATTCTGGGATGTTTTTTTAAGTAAAAATAAGTCGACGTGTACATGGTTTAGTGATATTTTAATTTAATGATCGTGATTTTTGAAAGTTATATGTTTGTAGTATTTTGGAATACGTTTGAGTAGAAGTAAATGTGCATGGAGAGAATTTAAGTATTTGACACTAAGTATTTGTAATCATTTTTAATGTTTTGTTATAAATTTGTTGGTGACGTTTATAATCGATAATTTAGAGGTAAAAGTTTTTGGATATTTTATTTATTTTATACATGCAAATGTCCATCTTTGGAAAGGGTGTATACGTTTTCACGATCAGATAATTTCATATATGTCCTTTTTACCGAATTTAAGAATTCACAAAATTTTCATGCATTTTCGTGAAATTTTTCTAATTTATGAGAAAATAGCAGTGTAGATGGATTTTCAAGAGTGTGGACAATGCCATTTTTTGTGCAATTCTGGGATGTTTTTTTAAGTAAAAATAAGTCGACATGTACATGATTACTGTGTATGTGCGATTTTGAAAAACGCGGCAAGGAGTTTGCGATCTGCACTTTTTCCCAATTTTGCAGTTAATATTTGTCATGATTAAGCAGTTTTGTTCCATAAAATTTCTAGCATAAGTGTAATTCGGCTAGCAGATTGTTGAAAAAAGTGTTGAGTAAATAAAAAGAAAAGAAACATGTCTTTACTTTGTGAAGACAAAATGGCGGCGAAAAAAAAATAGAGGGTTGCTGTAGCAGAGTTTGTCACCAAATTTTCACCAAAAATCGCCAAGTTACCATAATCCAAAGATCAACCAAAACTGCTTTTTAATTGTGTTGCGGAAACTATTTTTTTATCTACTTGTGAAGTTTTCTTTAATTTATTATGTGGTCTCTAGCTACCACATAATTAACCACATTTCTGTAACATTCCACAGAAAAACTCATATAGGTGTTCATGGTACCACAGAGTATAAATCAGTAGTTATGCTTCAGATTACTAAGACCATTAAACACAACGCAAGCAAAGAGCTTCTAAAAGGGCAAAACTTCCAATAATCTAGTCATTCTGAATTAACAACTCACAGCAACAGCAGCTGATCTCAGATACTCTTTCCAACCTTATATAGTTATTCAATTACTCTGCTTGTTATGTGATACAGGGACAGGACCAAAATGCAGCCAAGTAATGTAAATGTAGCCAAATGGTTGCCAAATAACATTTTAAATTTTCAGTTTTTCTATCTTGTATACTTTCTATCTTATAGACATTAAAAATATTAATAATATTCAAAATACAGTCAAAAGTCGTTAATCCGGACTCGTCGGGACTTCGGCGATTCCGGATTATCGATTTTTCCGGATTATAGATCATCAGTTTAAATCTCAAATGCAAGTGATGGCATGCAGAAATTCTAAAATTAATAATATGAAACCGTAATTTATGAAATAAAGAACAATTATGATCTAAAGGGTATCAAAATTTACCAAAAAAAAAAAAAAAAAAAAAGCTTAATATTTATTTGTTTACTTTATTAAACACTTCTTTCAATGCAAGTTGTTTAAGTTGCTTCGTTTTATGTGATAATACTTTCTCTTTAATTCTATAAACAGACATAATTTCTTGTTCAGTTACAAAGTTCCGCTGTTCAAGTCCCGTTAATTGCTGTGCCGAGAATACCGACTAACTTGTCAACCGAAATTTTTTCGTTTTCACTAACCTCTCTGTCACATTCTTCATGTTTTTATCCATTTTTTGCAGCAATTCCACTTTTTGTTTGTTGGACATCGAAACATACTTTCGTTTTGTAGATCCTTTGGAAGTTCCAGCATCGGAAATTCTATTTGACATAATCGAAAGTTCAAGTTTACTTTTATAAAATTGCTCTTACAGTCTGCAAAAAATAATAAGCAGGATACAATTCGAAGATTAAGGAACAACACAATCATTAACATTAACTGAAATAGATAATTAGATAATTTTAGCTTACACCGTCCGTTATACATAAAACGCACAGGCAAAAACGTATTCTGCACTTGCGCACACGCATATGCGCAGTAGTCAAAGTCATGTGCCTCATTGGCACATGCGCGCGCGTAGCGCATGCGCAGAAAGTTTCCGGATTATAGATCATTCCGGATTATGGGTGTCCGAATTAACGACTTTTGACTGTATTTTTTAAAAACACTTATATTATAAAGTATTTTATCATAAAAGGATTGGTATTAAAGAGCTTTTTTTTAAGCATCTGTATGGTGAATTTATATAATAATTTGTTCAAAATAAACT